ATTAGTGTCAGAGATTACTTATCTGAAAGTCAGACATTGCTCATTGCAGAAGGAACCCTTAGCATCTTTTAAAGAAACTATAGACCTAAATGGATACTCTTGATTATGTAAGCACGAGGGGCTTTGCAAGGAACAGATGAGAGGTAAAAAAAAAATTACAATGCTTTTATTAGCAACGTTTGGATGATTATCTATATATTTAAAAGTGGTATTAAATTCAAAAATAGAAATGTAATATATTGCCGAATCCTTAAATGTGGTGGCTGCATTACATTTTTAAGCCTTTATTTCACCTGATGATCTGGCCAGTAACACACTTCCTGCATTAGGGTGTCTCCACTGTGGACCGGGAAGCAATGGAAACACCTTTAGACAGCAGTATTGGCAATCTGGGGAAAGAGTAGCTTTAGACTACTACATGCATTTTACATAAATGATCAAAAACTTAGCATGTTAAGCCCCCCCCCCCCCATCAGTTTTAAGTGGCTTCTTTCAAGTGACACTTTTGCTGGACATCTTGGTCTGTTAAACAAGTTGAAATATAACAGACTTACTGGATGTATTACAAGGGGAACACAAGGTGAAAATGCCTAAAAAATATAACTAATGCAACCACCACATTAGGTAAGATCTAACCCAGCCTTTTTCAACCAGGGTGCCCAGGCTCGCTGGGGTGCCTTCAGGTTTCTTTATGGGTGCCTTACCAAAATGCCTACAAATTGCCCAAAAACTGTATACAGGCCAGCAGGTGGATCAAGCCTGTCTTTTTTTTTTTTTTATATTAACAATTTTTATTGGTTTTCAAAGAAATCATATGTTACAGAAAACAAGGAGAGAAAAAACAAAAAAGACAAGCAAAACAGAGAAGTACATCGATGGCAAGGATTACATTTAGTCAAGACCAATAGAGTCATATATTAACAGTGCGTTAATAATCAGGGTCTTACATTTCAGGCCAGCATAGAGGAAGAGAAATTATCCCACGGGAGCCAGATCATCTCAAATACAGCAAACAAACCACTATGTGAAGCAGTCAAACACTCCATCTGTCTTACATTGGCAATAAGTTTATACAAAGTTGGCAAGGAAGGTGGAGTAGAGGATAACCAACACATAGAAAGCCTGTCTTTTAATTACACAAAGCCACAGGTTTTCATTGTGCACCATTACAACTTTCTAACCACTGATGACATTAAAAAAAAAAATGATGTCATCAGTTTATGAGATGGACATTGGGCACCAGCACAGCATCCTAATTTGCCCTCTTCATCAGCACTGGGGTCACATTAGCTGAATGAGACAGAGAAACTGAAGAAGAGAAACAATGGAATATTAGTCAGTGTGCAAAGGTGCATTTGGTTTGGAAGAATAAATCACCTCCAACGTTGGTTGTCCCACATGTGCAGATGTTGCTGCGTTCTGTAAAACTATTAGTTTAGTTTTTTACATTTTGTAATGGTGCCTCAAAATTGTGCAGAATTTTAAATTGTGCCTTGACTGAAGAAAGGTTGAGAAACACTGATCTAATCTTTTCACAATGAAGCTTAAAACACAGAGATGATAGCAAGAAAATTATTAAGAGAAAATAAATATTCTCTTGATATTTTCTCTAAAATAGAGGTTTTATATGTAGTTTGCTGTATCATTCTAGCTGTAGACAATAGCAGAACAGTTAAAAAATAGGTGACAAATATACCTGTGCCTGGTTTTATGTATGAAGCACACAGCTGCTGCAAGAATTTCTCATAAGCACTTTTTTCCATTAAATTGGAACATCATGTTAACTGTACCATGCAGAATACCATATAATTAGACTGTCAATGTGTTCATCCTATAGTAAATGATCATTCAAACATGCAGAGTTCAGGTTTTGTAATTTAAATGTGAATACCAAACATCTGGAAAAAATGTTGCAATATCACACCAAAACATTTGCTACGAATCCCTTAGCTTTAACCTTAATGGATAAGTTCACTTTTGTTCACCTTTTTGTTTTCTAAATTCCAGCTCCCCGATGTGCCAGTATAGCATTAATGTACGTCTTTTGCAGAAGTTCAAAAGCTTTCCATTTTTTTTTTACACACCTTTATGTCAGTGTCCAAATGGCTGTATAGAAAAGCTTCTCCATTACTTCTGCCTTTTTTTCCTGCAGAGATTTTAGGTCATGACACAGGAAGGATTTGACCAGCTGACCTCATTAGCACACACCCTGCATCATCTACCTTCCTACCTACCACCCACTTCCAGGAGCACGACTATTAATCACTTCCCTACCACCCTATAGCAGAACTACTGCTACAGGGTGGCAGGGCTGCGCAAAATCAAGTAAATATACATGATTTTGCATTTCCGGGTAGGGGGCGTGTGCACGCTGCCCTACCCGTGCCACCATTGGCGGCTGCAGATATCGATCACCGGGTCTCAGATGGAGATTCCCCACCAGCACCCTATGATCTCCAAGTATCACTGACAGGGGAGAGACCTGTGTGTAAACAACACAGCTCTCTCTCCTGCCAGCAGTAACATGCTGCTGTGTATTTCTCTGCAGAAATACACAGCAGGAGACAGGAGACTGCAGGAGCAAGGAGGGGGCTGAACTTCTGGGTTACTTCGCAGCGGCGAACTGAGCCAGAAGTGGGAGAGGGTACCTGTCAAAACCAGGTACCCGCTCCCCCCTCTCCCCCAAAAGGTGCCAAATATGGCAGTGGAGGGGTGGAAGAGGCAAATAAGCAGAGCTTCCGCTTTTGAGTGGAACTCCGCTTTAACTTTCATCTTGCATAGATCATTCATTTGGCAGTATGTGCTGAGAGATCAGATTACAGCCTATGTGGATAGAGTTATAGTATTGAAAACGGGAGAATTCTGTTCTGGGTTTTGTAAGCTCACCATACACTATACAATCTGATTGTACAATATCCTTTAGATCTACCATTAACTGCACTACCATTAACTGCACTTGCACTACATCAAATGTAGTGCAAGGGCCTACCTGATTGGATACAGAGTGAATGGGTAGACACCTATTCCATAGTTCTGGAAAATCTAAAGGAAATTGTACAATCAGATTGTATAGTGTATGGTGAGCTTTACAGAACATACATATATACATATTCACATAGGCTGTTATCTGATCTCCCAGCACATACTGCCAAATTAATGATCTATGCAAGGTGAAAGTTAAGGTAGAAAAGAAAAAATGATGCCTGTGTATTTAATGAGAACAGTGATCACTGACTAATTGGATTTCATTTAATATTTGTGTACCTGGAAGTGGGTGGTAGGTAGGAGGGTAGATGATTCAGAGCGTGTGCTAATAAGGTCAGCTGGTCAATTCCTTCCTGTGTCATGACCTAAAGCAGGGGTCCTCAAACTTTTTAAACAGGGGGGCCAGTTCACTGTCCCTCAGACCGCTGGAGGGCCGGACTATAGTTTAAAAAAAAAAAACTATGAACAAATGCGGACACAGTACAGGAGATGACCAGAGACTGCGGACATAGTACAGGAGATGGCCATAGACTGCGGACATAGTACAGGAGATGACCAGAGACTGCAGACATAGTACAGGAGATGACCAGAGACTGCGGACATAGTACAGGAGATGACCAAAGACTGCAGACACAGTACAGGAGATGACCAGAGACTGCAGACATAGTACAGGAGATGACCAGAGACTGCGGACACAGTACAGGAGATGACCAGAGACTGCAGACACAGTACAGGAGATGACCAGAGACTGCGGACACAGTACAGGAGATGACCAGAGACTGCGGACACAGTTAAGGAGATGACCAGAGACTGCGGACACAGTACAGGAGATGACCAGAGACTGCGGACATAGTACAGGGGATGACCAGAGACTGCGGACATAGTACAGGAGATGGCCATAGACTGCGGACATAGTACAGGAGATGACCAGAGACTGCGGACACAGTACAGGAGATGACCAGAGACTGCGGACACAGTACAGGAGATGACCAGAGACTGCGGACACAGTACAGGAGATGACCAGAGACTGCGGACACAGTACAGGAGATGACCAGAGACTGCAGACATAGTACAGGAGATGACCAGAGACTGCGGACAGTACAGGGATGACCAGAGACTGCGGACACAGTACAGGAGATGACCAGAGACTGCGGACACAGTACAGGAGATGACCAGGGACTGCGGACACAGTTAAGGAGATGACCAGAGACTGCGGACACAGTACAGGAGATGACCAGAGACTGCGGACATAGTACAGGGGATGACCAGAGACTGCGGACATAGTACAGGAGATGGCCATAGACTGTGGACATAGTACAGGAGATGACCAGAGACTGCGGACACAGTACAGGAGATGACCAGAGACTGCGGACACAGTACAGGAGATGACCAGAGACTGCGGACACAGTACAGGAGATGACCAGAGACTGCGGACACTGTACAGGAGATGACCAGAGACTGCGGACATAGTACAGGAGATGGCCATAGACTGCGGACATAGTACAGGAGATGACCAGAGACTGCAGACACAGTACAGGAGATGACCAGGGACTGCGGACACAGTACAGGAGATGACCAAAGACTGCGGACACAGTACAGGAGATGACCAGAGGCCGAGGACACAGTACATGAGATGACCAGAGACTGCGGACACAGTACAGGAGATGACCAGAGACTGCGGACACAGTACAGTAGATGACCAGAGACTGCGGACATTGTACAGAAGATGACCAGAGACTGCGGACATAGTACAGGAGATGACCAGAGACTGCGGACACAGTACAGTAGATGACCAGAGGCTGCGGACATAGTACAGGAGATGACCAGAGACTGCGGACACAATACAGTACATGACCAGAGACTGTGGACACAGTACAGTAGATGACCAGAGACTGCGGACATACAACGGCGGCAGGAATACTGGGCCGGCCGCTCCATAAGACGCACAGACATTTCTGTCTGTGTCTTATGGAGCGAAATAGTGCCCCATCATTGGTGTCAGTGGGAGGAATAGTGCCCCATCACTAGTGTCAGTGGGAGGAATAGTGCCCATCATTGGTGTCAGTGGGAGGAATAGTGCCCCATCACTAGTGTCAGTGGGAGGAATAGTGCCCATCATTGGTGTCAGTGGAAAGAATCGTGCCCCATCATTAGTGTCAGTGGGAGGAATAGTGCCCCATCATTGGTGTCAATGGGAAGAAACGTGCTCCATCATTGGTGTCAGTGGGAGGAATAGTGCCCCATCATTGGTGTCAGTGGGAGGAATAGTGCCCCATTATTGGTGTCAGTGGGAAGAATAGTGCCCCTCCATTAGTGTCAGTGGGGGGGAGGAATAGTGCCCCAAAGTTGGTGTCAGTGGGGGGAGGAATAGTGCCCCATCACAACACAGTACAGGAGATGACCAGAGACTGCGGACATACAACGGCGGCTGGAATACTGGGCCGGCCGCTCCATAAGACGCACAGACATTTCCCCCAACTGTGTCTTATGGAGCAAAATAGTGCCCCATCATTGGTGTCAGTGGGAGGAATAGTGCCCCATCATTGGTGTCAGTGGGAGGAATAGTGCCCCATCACTGGTGTCAGTGGGAGGAATAGTGCCCATCATTGGTGTCAGTGGGAGGAATAGTACCCCATCATTGGTGTCAGTGGGAGGAATAGTGCCCCATCACTGGTGTCAGTGGGAGGAATAGTGCCCCATTATTGGTGTCAGTGGGAAGAATCGTGCCCCATCATTAGTGTCAGTGGGAGGAATAGTGCCCCATCATTGGTGTCAGTGGGAAGAAACATGCCTCATCATTGGTGTCAGTGGGAGGAATAGTGCTCCATCATTGGTGTCAGTGGGAAGAATCATGCCCCATCATTGGTGTCAGTGGGAGGAATAGTGCCCCACCATTAGTGTCAGTGGGGGGGGGGGGAGGAATAGTGCCCCATTGTTGGTGTCAGTGGGGGGAGGAATAGTGCCCCATCGTTGGTGTCAGTGTGGGGGGGGAATAGTGCCCCGTCATTGGGGTCAGTGGGGGAGGGATAGTGTCCCAACATTGGTGTCCGTGGGATGAATAGTGTCCCATCATTGGTGTCAGTGGGAGGAATAGTGTCCCATCATTGGTGTCAGTGGGAAGAATAGTGCCCCATCTTTGGTGTCAGTGGGAGGAATAGTTTGTCATTGGTGTCAGTGGGGGGGGATAGTGCCCCGTCATTGGTGTCAGTGGGGGGGGATAGTGTCCCAACATTGGTGTCATTGGGAGGAATAGTACCCCATCATTGGTGTCAGTGGGGGAAGGAATAGTGTTCCATCATTGGTATCAGTGGGGGGTGGAATAGTGCCCCATCATTGGTGTCAGTGGGCTGGGATAGTGCCCCATTGTTGACGTCAGTGGGGGGAGGAATAGTGCCCCATCGTTGGTTTCAGTGGGGGGAGGAATAGTGCCTCATCGTTGGTGTCAGTGGGGGGGGGGAGTATTGCCCCATCATTGGTGTCAGTGGGGGGAGGAATAGTGCCCCATCGTTGGTGTCAGTGGGGGAGGAATAGTGCCCCATCGTTGGTGTCAGTGGGGGGAGGAATAGTGCCCCATCGTTGGTGTCAGTGGGGGGGAGGAATAGTGCCCCATCATTGGTGTCAGTGGGAGGAATAATGCCCCATCATTAGTATCAGTGACACCAATGATGGGGCACTATTCCTCCCTCTGACACCAATGACACTTAACTTGCTGACCCCTGTTCCAGCATGGTTCTGCTGCAGCCAGCATACCTGGTTGCAGCAGCACCATCTGCATGGCACACTTACCTGTCAGCTGTCTTCTTCACTCCGGCCTCTCCCTCACTCAATGTTCATGGGGCCGCTCGGCTCTGCCTCCTCGCAGGTGATTGGCCGCCCGTGTGCCTTTCTTGAGCTACAGTTCTGGCACCCAATCACCGGTAAGGAGGCGGAGCCGAGCGGCAGAACGAACATCGAGTGAGGGAGTGGCCGGAGTGAATGAAGGAGCAGCGCTTCCTGGACTGGATCATCGTGAGACTGGAACACGGAGCCAGGTAAGATACAGCAGCTACCTGCCCGCCCCTGTACTTAGTGTCCATTCCTCGCTGCAAATACGCCCCTGCCGGATAAATGTCCTCGGAGGGCCGCATGTGGCCCGCAGGCCGTAGTTTGAGGACCCCTGACCTAAAATCTCTGCAGGAAATAAGGCAGAAGTAATGGAGAAGCTTTTTCATACAGCCATCTGGACACTGACATAAAGGTGTGAAGAAAAATGGAAAGCTTTTGAATTTCTGCAAAAGAAGTACACGAACGCTATATTGGTACATAGAGGAGTTGGAATTTAGAAAAATCAAACGTGAAGAAAGGTGAACTTATCCTTTAAAGACAACTTTGTGAAAACACATGGTCCATTTTATTTTCTATCACACCTGTGAATAAAAACTACTAATGTAAAACAAAACGTATAAATAGATTAGACTACATGAAATAAAGAGAACAAACTTACCCCAAACCCCAGTTTCCACGTGTTTCCTGTGCCTCACTGCTGTATCCTGAGAAAGATGAAAATGCAAAATCCCACATAAATGTACTTTACTGCATCAGTGGTTTTTTTTTTTTTTTTTAGAGTGGATGGCAGGAAATAAGTGGACCTTACATATTTATATGAAGCGTGCCTAATGTACAATCCTGCACTGCCCCCGATGATGTCTACTATGATAAAATGCGTTGGGTTGAGCTAGTGGCCGTAACATCATCAAGAGTGCTTTGCTGGAAGTCAGACTGGATAGAGTAATTTGCCAGTCTAATGTATGCAATGTGATATTGTCATGCTGGGCTATTGCTATATGTGAGGGTGCCCTTTATACTTTTTTTTAAATAAAATTTAATGTTTAATTTTATTACCCTATGTGAGTTGTTTTTTCCTCTCATTCTGTGATTGTCATGTACCTGATTAGTGACCACAAGAGAACAGCAATGTATGAGTGCCTGTTATCAGTCCAGTGGTCTGCGTGGCAGTAGCTGACACTTTACTGGAAGAATGCTGGGAACAGAGCAGCTAGCGGCAGGCAGATGTCACAGCAGGGCAGGCTGGAAGCAGACAGTCCGGCAGCAAGCAGATGTCACAGCAGAGCAGGCTAGAAGCAGACAGTCCAGCAGCAAGCAAATGTCACAGCAGAGCAGGCTAGAAGCAGACAGTCCAGCAGCAAGCAAATGTCACAGCAGAGCAGGCTGGAAGCAGACAGTCCTGCATCAGGCAGATGTCACAGCAGGGCAAGCTGGAAGCAGACAGTCTAGTGGCAGGTAGATGTCTCAGCAGGGCAGGCTGGAAGCAGACAGTCTGGCAGCAGGCAGATGTTATAGCAGGGCAAGCTGGTAGCAGACAGGCTGGCAGCAGGCAGATGTCACAGCAGGGCAGGCTGGAAGCAGACAGTCTGGCAGCAGGCAGATGTTATAGCAGGGCAAGCTGGTAGCAGACAGGCTGGCAGCAGGCAGATGTCACAGCAGGGCAGGCTGGTAACAGACAGGCTGGCAGCAAGCAGATGAGCCAGATGAGAATGTGATGGATAGAGGAGCTGTAGGAGGCTGGATGAGCAGGATGCAAGATCAGACGAGCAGGGTCGATAACAGACAGTCAGATCAGGCATAAATGGCAGGCAAGAGAGAGGTTGGGTAACAGGCCAGTGTCAGCAACAGTGGAGGCAAAGCAGGCACAGGCAGAAAGTAGCAGAAGCCAGAGAAGAAGCCGAGGTAGCAGATGAGTAGAGTAAGGTGTAAGGCGGGTCAAGATCAGAAGTCAGATACAGGTATCAGGTTAACACATGCAAATGCTGTAGACCAAACAGCAATTAGCTAGTGCAATAGCTCTGTTTAAATAGGCTGTTCGGCACCAGCATTAGTGACAGGCGCAAGTACACATGTGTGCGTACCTATGCCAATATTTGTGCACATCTGCCTGGCCAGTTTCCAGGCTGCACATGCGCATATATATGAGCCAGGAAACTTTAGTTGCGCTATGGGACAGCCTTTCCCAACAGTGATGGTCATATCAGTCTGGTAAGTGCCTCTTGTATACATGGAGGGGAACACTGGTTTGTGTCTTTGTTCACAGAAAGTTACTCACAAAAAGTGGATTGCTTGGTATGTTTTATTCCTTTATTTATATTAATATAAAGCACCTTTTGAAGTATGTGGACAAATTTGGTCACCTTAAGTAATATTCGATTTTGGGATTTATTCATCAAATTTATGCTTATGCATGGTTTGATAAATGTTTATGTTTAAAGTAACATATTTATGGTGTATATATACACACAAATTGGAAATATAATTTTGTAGTGCTGCACTTCTTTTTAATATTTATTTTTATTTGGCATCACAAATTTTAGTGCTGGCAGTTAACTAAAATTCCACTTAAACACAGAGATCCTCCCTCTCGGGAGTATTTGCCATGAGGCAAACAAGGCATTTGCCTAGGGCGGCACTTTTCAGGGGGGCGGCACAGTGGCAGCGCCGCCCCCCCCTTCCCACAGAAGGGACACTTCCATGGGAAAGGGACAGGGGCTGCTGTGTCTTACCTGTATCCGCGACTCCATGTTCTACGTCGATCTGGTCCACAAGGCGCTGCTGGAGGAGGGGTGCAGAGGGTATCCGCCCGGTGTCTTCATCTTCCTGGATCTTGATCGTGATGTGGGCGGGATGACAAGCTGTCCCTCAAATCTGGCCACACCCCTGGGTTCACTGGGCAGCCTATGGCAGCCTGTCCCTCCCTCTGCAAGCTCCGCCTCCTCGCCAGTGATTGGACGCCAGATCTGTAGCTAAGAAAAGGCACACAGGCGGCCAATCATAGGTGAGGAGGCGGAGCTTGGAGAGGAGGAGCTGGGCGGCAGCGCAAAGATTGAAGATCGAGTGAGGGAGCAGCTGGAGCTGGTGAAGAGGAGGAGAGCGGCTGGAGAAGGAAGACAGCTGATGGGTAAGTGTCTGTGCCTGAAGGAGGGAGCCCGGGCTGGAGTAGGGGTCAGCACAGCGATGTAAGTATAATTGTTGTCAGTGGGAGTAATAGTGCCCCATCATTAGTGTCAGTGTGGGAGTAATAGTGCCCCCTCATTGGTGTCACTGACACCAATGAGGGGGCACTTTTCCTCCCACTGACACCAATGATGGCGCACTATTCCTCCCACTGACACCAATGATGAGACACAATTCCTCCCACTGACACCAATGATGGGGCACTATGGCTCCCTCTGACACCAATGATGGGGCACTATTCCTCCCATTGACACCAATGATGGGGCACTATTCCTCCCACTGAAACCAATGATGGGGCATTTCCTCCCACTGACACCAAAGATGGGGCACTATTCCTCCCACTGACACCAATGATGGGGCACAATTCCTCCCACTGACACTAATGATGGGGCACGTCCTCCCACTGATACCAATTATGGGGCACTATTCCTCCCCCTGACACCAATGATGGGGCACAATTCCTCCCACTGACACCAATGATGGGGTACGATTCCTCCCACTGACACCAATGATGGTGCACGATTCCTCCCACTGACACCAATGATGGGGTGCTATTTCTCCCACTGACACCAATTATGGGGCAATTTTGCTCCCACTGACACTAATGATGGGGCGCTATTCCTCACACTGACACTAATGATGGGGCGCTATTCCT